ATTTTGGCGTCGTTGGATAAAGGAGTATTTACCACTTTTACAGACACGAACAAAGTGGACACAAAAGAGACGAGATCTACAAGTTGGCGATCTAGTATTGGTTATTGGAGACTCATATGCACGAAGTAACTGGCCTAAAGGCCTAGTGGTAAGTATCGACCCAGGAGAAGATGGGCTAGTGAGACAAGCAAAGATCAGAACGTCGAAGGGCATAATTATTAGAGATATACGTAAAATTTGTTTATTAGAAGGGGTGGACGACTGAACAGTAGAGGATAGAGAGACCTTTCAGAGTGACTGTGGCTAGAGTAAATTGTACCATTGTCACCTCTGAACGTTTTACGTTAATACCTAATCAGCGAAAGTAAGGAAAGACATGCTGTCTTTGGGGGGCGGTGTTAAGTTTGTCTTACATTGTTCCTACATGTTCCTTTTCTACTCTTTGTATGTTGTTTTATACTACTTATTTACGTTCAGTAGGCAGCTGTATGCCAAACAATTTTCACACTTATGTTGTATCTCAAGTTGTACTGTAACATTCTGGAATGTTCACCTATATCTTTAACGTTTATTTTACTTATAATTGTATTTATCATTATAACCACTGTAATTTAATTACTGTAACGATTATCCACAGTTTTGTACATTTGTTTGAATGCAACAGTTTCCATATTGTTTGCTCTTGGTTCGAGTTTCGGTTGTTCATAAACTGTTACCAAGTTTAGACACAGCTATCGGCTGTCTTTGGACTATCGTATGTTGTAATCATTCTTTATGTTACTCTTACAGGAAGCCTTTGCTATTTTCATTCTTGAACGACGCGTTTAAACGCCTAGACACCTCACAAGTTGAGGTTTGTAACTAAATTTTGTGTATTATTTAATAAAGAACCGCTTTTGTAGACAAATCGTTGTTTTGGAACTTCGATTTTGCGCGTATCTCAATCGGGGTTACTTCGACGCTTCGATAGAATTAACAAAGGGCTTGATTCTACTAGACGTTATTGTGATTAGTCTGATATAATTGAAAGACCCCGGTATGAAAGCTGGACATGAGAATTACTCTAAAGGTTGAGGCGTTTATCTTTGTGTTATAACACTCTTTTCTTCCGGTTATGACCCAGCTATTCCTATTGCTAAGTATTCTCGGACACCGATTCACTCGACAAGTCCCCAAATCAAAGCATGGTTGAACAGGAAGAGATTATATTCCAAATAACAAGGTTAGATGGAAGTAAGAAGCAAGTCAGAAGCACAATAAAGAAAACGTCAGTATATTTATAGTTTTTTTACATGAGAAGATTCTAGAGTATTGTCCAACTATCGACTAGTGCTGATTTGATAAGAATTAGCCAATCAGCGTGCACCAAAGCAATCGTGCATTGAGCTTGCTTTAATCCAGTCTATGTTCCGCTAACACTTTGTCATCCTACAATTCTGCATACAACGCCAATAGCTCTTTTAATTTTACTGCCGGCCCAAATCCCGGGCTAAGGAGGAGTGTTGGACGTACAATCAGAAACTCCGTCCCATAGAAATCAATCATGCAAAAATACGCTAACCAGAGTAAACCACTTGAACTCTTCTCTCCAAGTTGAAGGAAAAATTATGAAATACGCGATTCCTCGGATGTCACGAAGCCGATACTCATTCTAACAACCAAGTCAACAATTAATATTGAGTTTTTGATTGAGATCAAGAACCGATTGATGTTAGACCACTTTTAGATACCTGGAAGCACTGGACGGCCGTTTCGTTCTATTGTGGGACTCCTCAGTAGTGCGCATCCATGATCCCGCTAGCGGGATTCGAACCCAGGACCTATCGGTCTCGAGTGCGAATGCTTAACCTACTGGACCACTGAGCCGGCATCCAATGGTGATAGTGTCTAGCATTAACGAATCCACGAAATTGCGCGACCATCTTCCATTGTACTGGGTTAGATACCTATCTCTACCCAACATGGATTAGCTCCACTGATCACGGCTTCTCACTAGAACTCCAAGAATTAGCACATGTTGATTACTGGTATATACATGGATTAGCTTCACTGATCACCAGTGACTAGCTTCGTGAGGGAATTCTCGGAGTTCTAGTGAGAAGCCGTGATCAGTGAAGCTAATCCATGTATATACCAGTAATCAACATGTGCTAATTCTTGGAGTTCTAGTGAGAAGCCGTGATCAGTGGAGCTAATCCATGTTGGGTAGAGATAGGTATCTAACCCAGTACAATGGAAGATGGTCGCGCAATTTCGTGGATTCGTTATTGTTAGACACTATCACCATTGGATGCCGGCTCAGTGGTCCAGTAGGTTAAGCGTTCGCACTCGAGACCGAAGGCCCTGGGTTTGAATCCCGCGAGCGGGATCGTGGATGCGCACTGCTGAGGAGTCCCAAAATAGGACGAAACGGCCGTCCAGTGTTTCTAGGTTTCTAAAGGTGGTCTAACATCAATCGGTTCATGACCTCAATCAAAAACTTAATAATCTCCACAATGTACTAGTAATTAATTTTGATACATAGAACGTCCGAGCAATGTGTAAGACTGGGAGGACTAGTCAAATAGTTATGGAAATAAGAAGATATGCCTTGGCAGTACTAGGAATCAGCGAAACCCAATGAACTCAAGTTGAACAGCGAAGGGCAGATACAGGAGAGATGCACATATACTCCGCTCACGAAGAGGAAAATACTCCACATACTCAGACAGTTGCACTGATGCTATCCAAAGAAGCCCGAAAAGCACTTATAGGATGGGAGTCCCATCGATCCAGAATCATCAAGGCATCCTTCAAAACAAAGGTGGGAGTCACAATGAATTTTATCCAATGCTACGCACCCACAACTGATAGCTTTGACGACGATAAGGATCAGTTCTATGAGAGGCTACAATCGATCATAGCGAAGTGATCAAGAAGGGACCTGACAGTCCTGATGGAAGACCTAAACATCAATGTCGGAGTAGACTACAACAATTATGAAGATATCACGGGACGACATGGACTAGGAGAAATGAACGAGAATGGCGAAATACTCGTAAGTTTCTGCGCGTCCAACAAAATGGTTGTAGGCGGCACTATATTCCCACACTAATGTATACAGTAAGCAGAGCGGGTTTGACCACACCACACTAAAGAGAAGTAAATCAATCACATTTGCATCAGTTAAAAATTCAGAAGGAAAGTAGAGGACTTGAGAATCAGGACAGGAGATGACATAGCTTCAGGTCACCACCTGTTGATTGCCAAGATAAAGCTCAGTCCAAAGGGGCACTAGACAGCTGGTAGTATTTTTCATGATTGTTCTATTTCAATCTCTGTTCTTCATCCTATTAGCTTCGTTATTTGTGTTTGAGCTTTCATAGTGCACTTCTGCTCAGTGCTGCTGTGAAACGAAACGGACTTACATGGTCACACACATGAGACTTTGAGAAAAAGTCTTGGACAGAGGTAAAGCTACACAACCAAGCTGTTGAAGATGCCACAGATATTTGGAGTTTGACAACACTTTAAGTGGTAACATTGTGGTGGACCAGACAAATATGAACGTGAAAAAGTATTAACCAAGTTATTAAGAGTAAATAATAATGTTAATTGTTACAAATACAATAGAAAAATTGGGACTTTACTTAAGTTCACCAAGTTGATGAGTGTCCAGATTGGGTCTGGTTCTGTAAATCCACAATTATAAATGCTTGGTAATTCCAATCAGGTTGACAAAATCTCCAGTAGTGTAATCCAATGTAAGGTATGGTATATTCCCACTTACAGTCTATAAATGTAGTCAATATTTGATTTAGATTTCAGTTAATTCAATCACAAACGAAAATAGAACGAGGGATATGTGTGTGGCAATGTATTTGTTAACAAGCCACAGTATGTCACGCTATGTAGTTACACAAAAGAAAAATGAGTTCAAGGTCATTTACTTAAAAAATGCGTATGGTCATTTATTGACAAATGTACATAGAGTGAAAAACTTACAAAATAAATACAAATAACATTATTAACTATTTACATGATAAGCTTTGTCAGGTCTGTCTCCATGACATCTAATTTGAATCGTACTCACAAAGTGAAATCAAAGGACAGAAGCGAAGAGGTTTGAGGATATATTTGACAAGCTATCAATATATCGAGGACCATCTGATCTAATCTGGCTAGCGATTGCAGTTGTTGAGCACGGTGTTCCCACTCGTGATCTAGTGCGGATGCATAACCGAGAGTCTTCAGCTAGGTGAGTCCATTAAAACTAATGTGGTCAGCGTCCAATGTCGAAGACTCGCGGAGCTATTTTTTTTGAGGATTTATTTGCCGCCACACTGTTCAGCCTGGAGAGGATAACGCGACCTAAACAATCCGCCTGGGCCGAATATCTTTGCTATCTTGAAAGTACTTGTAAAACATATCCTTAGGAAATCTTGTCATGACAAGTTATGTTGATCACTTGCCTCCTCATACAGAGAAGCGCCTAATGCAGGCGTTCCAATCTCAATTTCCTGTACGCAGGTGAAGTATGGGCGATTTGATTGGTTGATGAAATACAGTAACAAAGTGATGTATAAACAGATGAGGTATAGATAAAAGTTATGGTAGGCTTCTAGCAGTGGCGTTTGGTTTGAGAAACATGTCATAGGACTTTTAAGGCGTGAAGCAATGGCTGAAGTGGAAGGACGGCTATAGATTATCTTTTGAAATTAGTTTGAAGAGAGTGGACTTCATGAAATGAGAGTATGACCTACCTAGTTTTTGAAGGCAGCAAGGCATTATTACTAATGAGAAAAAAGAATAACAGAGACCAAACTAATGACACCAGTGGCCCTAAGAATAAAACCACTGACCTATACTTGGAGTTGTGTAAGTCGTATAACTAGACCAATCTTCGATACGCAACCAAATCCCAGTGGTTGGGCGTTTCTCCCCAGTAGCCAATTTCATGATTGCACCGTAAGACATCTTTTACTTAATTTACAAATTTTTCCTCTTTCTGTCAATTGAACACTTAACCACTGGTGTCAACTTAAGGCTAACTAGGAAGTGGTTGTTTTAGTTCACCTGCGATCAGCTGATGATGGCATCATCCATAAACATCTTGAAAGCCGACTCTGTTCTTCGTCTCAGTAGGTTTGGGTTATAGAATTATTTAGCTTATTTTCAAAGGTACTTTTTTAAAACGTTGGAAACCGGCATGGCTAGTTCTTTATGGGAATGGTGAGCTGCGGTACTTTGAAAGTAAGGATGATTATGTAGCGAAAGCGACTATTAATGTTCCACGAATATGCAGAGAAATTCTATCTGGTCACGTAAGTTAATGGAAATTTATGCTAAAGCTTAAGTATATCACTATGTTTTTAAGTTAGCTCTGATAATATATTGCGTCTATAGTGGTTCTTACAGATAATTATAAGGATTGGTATTTCAAAAAGTTGAAGCCCTCTAATATTTAATTTCGGTTACCAGTATGAGTTGTTTATGAGAATTTACATATAGATGTCTGTTGACTCTTACAAATCATATGAACTAAGGTTGGCGTACGTCTGCGAAATATAATTAAACGAAAAGCAATTAATTTGATGTGCAGATAAGCCACGGCAGATATTACATCCTACCTGTTTGACTGACTAACACCTGGTATACGTTTGTGGAATTATGGGTGGATGTCTTCAGTTTTCAGAACGAATAAAGTAGGTTGGTTGATCTGTATTCTTGCAACTTGTTTCACAGTAGTCAGTCAGTCAGTAACAACGTAGAACTTCGTACGTACGTACATCAGTTCGAGTTGCCTTACCACATTAGCACAGAGATGCAGTAGTCGATTCAAATCCCGTAGTGGTAGAGGTAATAAGAGTATAGGCAGTAATCGAGAGGATATCACTTCCTGGCTGCCCACACCGTGGAAGGGTATTTCTTGAGGAACCTGAAAAGCAAATTGGATTAGTGTTGGTCTTAAAGACCTGGGAGCGTGACCGCAGAGCCCAAGGGACGACTGCTTGGGGCCGGTCGCGCACGGCCTTTTCGTGGAAGGTTTTTAATGTGTTAGCTCCGTTCTTCAAAGGGCCTTACCGCCGTAGACGGAAATCCGTGAGGTAAGGTGGTGTGACATTTTTAGGGTCGAGCTTTTCTAACCCCACTCCTCCTTGTGGGAAGGCAACATCGCTGCAGATGCTGGTTGTCCGAGGGAAACACCTCACTGCTGTCACACCCCTCTACAGTCAGCAGTACGACTTCGCCCTCAGACCTTGAGTTGCTGCTTTTAGTCTTACCGTTCTCCAATCAACCTGCCTGGCATGGTAGAACCTACAGAAACATATTTTCCAGCCAATATAGCTCGGTCGGGTCATCACGATAGGCAAGCCCGACCACCGCGTCAAGGTAGCAGCTTCGGTCGGGATTTCCCAGTAGAGATGAAACTTCTGGAATGTGTTCACTAATGGGCCTGATAATAGTCGTCCAAGTAGGGCGTCCCAGCTATTGACTCCTTGATTAGAAAAGCGAAATCCTATTGAGTTTATTTGATCGCGATTTTAAACCTTTCCGTGACCTCGAAGATGATTATTTCTACAGGCATCAAAAAGGTACTATATGTTGATACTCAAATAGCCATTCAAGGTCACCTCGCGTTATACTGTGAGGGAAGGTTCCAGCGTCGTGATCACTCATCGTAGAAAAGTTTAGAAAGACTCGTCATTAACTTAGTTCCCACGCATTGAACACACTCGAGTGTGGTGGCATCCTTGGTAAGGCATGGACTAGACGAACAAATCCAATGCTCCAAGTTAGGTCTCACATTAGGTGTGGTCTGAAGTCCAAAATATATATTCAAAACATTTGAATGCTCGGCCAAGTGACCATAACACTCAGATACCTTTGGGAGCTGGTGCGTTGTGACTCACAGTTGCTTCTAAGTCATGACTCAGTTACTCCTAGGCCTCGTTTGGAGCGGTGTGCGATCGGTGGCATACCGGGTACCGTTGCCACGTCCAATGTTTGTTCTAGGATTAGTCTCCAAATCCCAATTTTTAGACCATCTAATTAGTTCGTTAAAGTCAACTTGGAGATCAAGATGATCACTCCCACTAAGTATTGTTTTTTAAAGTTTAACATTATCCGCAAACAGGTGTCGATGACTTAGACAGTCTTGGTAATTTTTTGACATATATATATATAAAACCTAATATTGTGCCTTTATATACACTTTTTAACCAGTTCCAATTTACCCTCATTCTATCTTTGGCCATAGAAAGTTCCTTGTCCACTCTTGTATAGCATTTGTTATTCCAAAGCTGGAGACCGTGAGTAAGATATCTTTCCAAATATACTGATAAAATCCATGAACATTACGTCAACAGACAAAGCGATAGCTTTGCTTGTTGTCCAATTTTCTATCTCAACTAATAAATTAATCAAGCATAAATGTCTTTCGAAACCTGTGTTGCTCATGAGTTAACAGATCGTATAATTCTACATAACGTAGTAGCGTAGACTAAATTATTTCCTCGATTCTGAATACGTTGCTGAAATGATTCTATTAAGCGGTAATACGAGACGAAATAATGGTAAAACATTGCTCATTTGCCTTTTGATTGTGAAATCGCATTTTCTGGAGAAACGTTTACTCGCTAACTTTTCATAAACGACTTGTATAGTAGCGTATCTTCATTTATCGGACACTGTTAAACTAAACTATGTTGCCGAATCAATCAGGGTTGATATCTACACTTCGAGGTCATGCTTAGATCTAACTTAAATTTCTCGATATCGACAAAACACTTGTTATAGATAGATGGATAGATCTATGAGCAATTTTAATGAGAATACTGTAATTGGCTATCTCCAGAGCGAGTATGCGATAGGAAGTTGGAATAGGATTGGGTAAATGGTTTTCGATTTAATTGTAGTGTTTTTTAGAATTCGAGATAAAAAGCGACACGCATCAACAGTTTTTTCGATAATAAAAAAGATGCGTTCATACAGGGACCACAGTGTGTACTGAAGACGGGAGTCTACAGTGTTTTTTCCTGAAAGATTACGATATCAGTGTAAAGTCATTATCTACCAACGAACCCGTAGATTTTATTAGTAGGGTCCACATTAATAACATAGAAGTGTGGAGGCAGTTGGACAGTTATTTGTACACATATAAAGGTTTCCGAGGAAAAAAGCTTTTTAGTCACGTTTATGAATTCCCTTACCAAACATTCTTTAATTTTAAAACAGTAACTCATTCTGAATACAGGGAAGCTCATTAGTGGTGCAAAAACTGTATGCATTTCATGTCTTTTTTCTCCGTGTTATGACTCATTCTTTCATATCTCCTTTTTATGACTGGTCCAATTGACATCACTTTTTAGAGATCATTTATGTCAGTTAATTTTGGCGACATTAGTTTTGCCTTGAACATATACTAGATGGCATCGTCCAAATAAGAGTGATATGTGGTTACTAAAAATTGCTGCAAGATGTATCAGTTAATTTCGCTAGATCCACGTTCTCGTTATGTATGTTTATGTTCACATTTAGCCTTCTTTGCCCAAAGTTATCCTCACCAGAATATTCTCTGGAACTGCTTTGCAATTGATATCACTTGAAGTGTTTGGAGATGTCATTAATCAATGATAAATAATGTATGCAATCCAATTCGTCTGATAGGGACGTTGAAAAAATGTAGTCTTATAAACCTCTTGAGTCAAGCTGAAGCGCTTACGTTATTCAATTACGGTCTGTGCTCGCTAGACCGTATAATTATGTTGATGAGTGGTAAACAACACAAAACCTTGCTGGTTTTCCTTGACAAAATAACTCAAGTAATATTTTCGTCTAAGTAGTCGAAAATAGTCTCTTACGCATTTCTTCTATATAAAAACAACCAACCATACGTTTTGGGCATCCTGTCAAAATATGGATAACTTAGAACATTGTTTGTTCATTTCAATATTGTATTAGTACCTTTTTCGATTCTGTCCGTTATAGTACCTATTTCGTTACTCAAAACTCAACTATCACAGTACTTTTTGAATTTTAATCTTTTTAATCTCTCCTCTGTTTTTGTAGCGAAATATCGATCCACCTAAAGATCGTTCTAGCGAGTGCATTTTCGGCCTCAGGACAGATGAATCTAATTGGTATTTCTGCGCCCAGTCACCTGATGACGCAGTAGTATGGCGTCTTGCTTTATCTGAAGTAAAAGGGATGTCCATCCCTCGCTATCGAGTTCGTATGCCACCTCCAGAAGCTCCACCACCAGGATATACAGATGGCACAAACTACTATCAATACGCATGTCCTGCTGAAACTACAGTTCCTTTATACCAAGCTTCTGGAGGAATGCGGGAAGTACCTGTAAGCAACAGGTCCATAATGAATACTGTTAATCATGTATTTCCTTTATATTGTAACCTAACATGGAAAGGGTATACATATAATTTGTGTCTGGTAGTGTCACTGCGCCATAAACCTAATTTCTCATTGAAAAGTCCTTTGCTATGGGTATAGAAAGCATCTTCAGTACAGCTTTATAAAATCATAGTAGCGCTGCAGATGCAGTTTTTACTTTGAATAAATGGAAATAAACATCAAATTTCCCATGACGTTCACTGTGATAAAATATAAAAGTTGTTCTTGAAGAAATTCGTTACAGTGATATAAGTACATCTACAAATCAAATGTTGTCAATAGGCTCAAGCTTCACCTCTTTTCACTCCATTAGTCGATTAATATCAGGAAAGGTATGGTAACTTACTTTTACGCAAATTGCTGTATGACCAGTAAGTGGAAGTCATTTATCTTGGTAAAGAAGCAATCAATTTCTTGGTCTACACAAATTAATTCTCGACAAGACGTTCCAAAAAAGTAGTGAGCTTGATAATAACTAGTATTAATTAACAGATAGTTGATTAAAACACCATATAGTTAATAAATTAGTGGATAGGCTTAGGAACTTGATTCAGAGTAAATATAGGTAACAGGATAGAACTATTTGATAATCCTGATAAATAAAGGAAGTTACATGAAATGAAGTTTCTTAAGATTTTGGTAAGCTCATCATAGTCAGGTAATATGTCAGATTAATCTGAATCTTCAGTTTCTTTAACATACCATAAGTGATAATTCCCCTTTCAACAATTATCTAGGGATTTCATCGGCTACTCATGGTGGTGCATAAACGTAACAAAAATAAAGAAACTAAATAGTGAACAATCCCCGCACTGTGAAACGTGGATGTACTTAAGCTAATTTTACTTAGTTTGAAGGTATTGTATTACCAGCATATGAAGTATGTTTTGTTATGGTGAGCAAATAAAACTCTTACACAAAAGCTAAAATGATATCCTTATTTTTGACATAAACTTTCTGTTCTGTCAAAGTGGTTCATATACTGAGACAACATGGGCCGACAGGATATTTAATTAATATTTTGACTGATATCTGCCTTCGCATTGTTTTTTGTTCATTCAGTTCTTGTTGATAGTTTGTAATGCTCAGTACATCTTCACCTCATACTGCTGGTAATCACATTCACTTTTGGATTGGTACATAACTTTAAAGTGTCATAGATGTTTGTTGGAGGCATTTGATAGATAATGTTTTAAGATTTATTCTCATCAAATTAAGTAAACCTGCGAAATAATCTTTGAAATTCAAGTACTCATGGTAGTGTTATGTAGCCTCTCTTTCTAGCATCCAAAAACATGGATTCTGATGCGATCATACCTTTCGGGAAACGTTCGGACTAATAACATATTACTTATCCAAAATATTGTTAATCATAAATTCACTTGATATTGTTAACTTGAATCTTTCCATTGTTATTTAGAACTGCAATCGATCAGTCTCTTATTGGCATATGTGCATACTGTGCGTATTGGCTTAAATTACAAGCATTAGCACTCAGTAGCTAAGTAGATAACACGATGGCATTTGAAGCGAACAGTACTGGGTTCAAGTCTCCGAGTGAACATCAACTCTGAGATGTAGGTACATCAAGCTGACAAGTTCCAAATAGGACGAAACGCGCGTCCTAGATTCCACTATCCATCTTTGCTTATAATCAATGTGCAATTACACTATAATGGTGTTCTTTTGATTACTCACCAACGTGATTAACTTTGGTTAGTTATTGATTTCTGTGCAAGTTATCGGACCATATTATTCAATTGATCATTTTTGTAGAGTGACAACATATAAATTTCTAACCATAGTTATTTTATATTGATTACTTAAAATGACCTATCTTGTTTTATTTTATACTCAGTCGAATATATAAATGTATTGAAATGTCTATAATTTAATTATTTCCCATAGATTATATACCGTGGTTCAGATGGTGAATATATAATGCCACGACAGATTATTGAACATCCTGATGGATCGCGTACAATTATCCTTGGTGATGGAAATGAAATTCCATGTCATTGTCGACATGGTTATTATTGTGGATGTGGTTATGGTTTTGGTGATGCAGCTTTATTAGGTTTAGCAGCTGGTACACTTATGTGGTCTCCATTCTTATGGTTCCCATTTTTCTGGTGTTGATAAAGTCGATGATAAGGATGTGGTTGATTTACACAAACACTGTCAGAATTTTGTCACAATACTCACATTTGTAATTCGCTTTTTATCCATTTTGTTGAGGTTGTTTTTTGTTGTTATAAGGTGGTAGTTGACTAATGAATATTTTTCATTTCATGCTATCATAGTATCATTTTTCATCATTTTTCTTGTGTTCTCTCTGTGTATCTCTCTCTCAAGTGGATATTCAGGTGTGTTTTTTTTGTTAAATAGTAATTTCTACTTGTTTTGTTTTCTCATTCACTGTGATCATATTCACCTATTTCTTTATCTTATTAACATAAGAATATTTTTGGAATACTTTGTTTTATTCATATTGTGAATTGTGCTTTTCTGATAAAACAATAATAATAATAATATATATCATAAGGGGTTTTGTGGATATTATAGTCATTTTAATCGTTGAGATCATGAGTCCATTGAAGTTAGATTATCATGGAAAACTTGGGATCACTAGACGGTTGTTTCGTCGTAGTATGGTACTCTTCACCAGTGCGCATTCATGATCAGCTCAGTGGTCTAGAGGTTAAGCGCTTGTGTGCGAGACTTGGGTTCGAATCTCGCCAGGCGGGATCATGAATGTGCGCACTACTGAGGGGTCCCAAACTAGGATAAAACGGCTATCTAGTGCTTCCAGGTTTTCTATGGTGGTGTAGCTTCAATTGATTCATGAATTGAACTATTAAAAATTATTTTAAGTTGTTGGATTAACGGAAATGTTAAGTGGGCAAAAAGAACTTATTTACTTTTTTCATCAATTCCAGTTTAAACAGGTAAATAGTACGTTTATATAGTTTGTCTTAGTTTTCGTTTAAAGAAATAACGGTTTGGATTACAGTTGTCTCGTAATTTGGCGTTGATGTCGCACTAAGCGCTAGAGCTGAGGCAGCACTAGTCGATTGGATCCCCATTAACAGTCGGTTATGTGCTGTTAGATTAGAAAGTTCCATCGAAGTGAGGAGAAATCGGAGTGAGAAACGATGTCTTTTCGTCATCTCCGCCTACGCTCCGAGAATGCAGCCCGGATGCAATCAAGGATGAGTTTTACCACCAGTTATCTGTTCTTCTCCAGAAAGTGCGTTCGACAGATGTTGTAGTACTAGCCGGAGACTTGAATGCTCAGATCGGGCGTCTAGGCACAGAAAAGTCGTTTAGGTGGCCGATGGGGACTTGTTGGTCGCAGGTCAGATAACGGGGACCGTCTACTGCAACTTTGCACAGACCACAACCTGTTTCTGGCTAGCACTAACTTTCGGCACAGTCATCGCCGATGTGCCACCTGGCGTCCTCCCTCTGCATCCCAAGCCTGGACTCAGATTGATCACACCGCGACCAGCTACCGCTGGCGTGGTTGTGCACAAGACTGCCGCTCCTTTTGGAGTACCTATCTGGACTCTGACCATGCCTTGGTCTGCGCCAATCTTGCCTTACTTTTCAGTGGACAACGAAGTGACCACCACCAAAGGATTGATGTTAGCAAGCTGGTTGCAACTTCTGATGCAAATAAGTATCGAACCGAGCTAGCTTCTAGGCTAGCTACCATCCCACCGAAAATTATAGATGAGCATTGGTTGCAATCGCATGACGCCATGAAAATGGCGGGTACAGTCGGTTGTGGGTTCGCGAAAGGTCCCGCTCATAAGCATCGGGTTTCTGCAGGTTCCTTACAACTCATTGAAGCCCGTCGGTCTACTCCGGGTGACCGTGAATTTGACCACAAACGAAGGATGTTACGTAATGAAATCGGGCAAAGCTTGCTTAAGGACCGAAAAGCCTGGTGGTCGAGGCGTGCTAATGAGCTGGAAGGAGCAGCTGCATCTGGTAACTACCGGAAGCTCTTCCAACTCATCCGAGCCACTGGCAGGAAGAAGTCTGGTGTGAGTGAAACAATCTGCGAGGGTGATGGGATGCCAATCACTAACATCCATCGACGTCTTGGACGGTGGGCAGAATTTTTCGAAGGGCAGTTCAACTGGCCTGCTGCTCTGGCAACATCGGTCAGACTGTCCTGCCCTCCATGGCCGGTGACGACTGATCCACCAAACGAGGAGGAAGTCCGCAAGGAACTCCAACTCTTGAAGCGTTACAAATCACCTGGCCCAGATGACTAAACTCCGGCTCTTTTTAAAGATGGTGGTGACTTTTTGACTAAGGAATTGACGACGTTGTTTACAAAGGTTTGGGAACTAGAGAGTGTACCAACGTCATGGAATGAGTCGATAGTTGTCCCTATCTTTAAAAAGGGTTCACGCCGTTCTTGTAACAACTATCGGGGGATAAGTTTACTTCCGATTGCGTCCAAGCTATTGGCTTCCGTCATTCTTCGTAGGTTGTCCAAAACCCGAGAAAGATTGACTCGCGAGGAGCAGGCTGGGTTTCGTTCTGGTCGAGGATGTATTGATCATTTCTTCACCCTCCGCCAAATGTTAGAACACCGCCATACTTTTCAAAGGCCAACAATCGTAGTGTTTCTTGACATCAGGGCTGCCTTCGATTCGTTGGATAGGACTGTTCTCTGGGATTGTCTATTGAAGAAGGGTGTGCCTGAGAAGTTTATTGACATCCTAAAAGCCCTATATAAAAACACCTCAGGCAGAGTGAGGGCATACAACCACCTTTCTCCATTATTCCATTCGAGCAGTGGGGTTAGACAGGGTTGCCCAATCTCACCATTCCTCTTCAACTTTGCCATCGATGACATTCTGGAAACAGCTCTGATGAATGTAAGTAATGGTGGTGTGGATCTGTTGCCTGGAGAAAGACTTCTCGACCTTGAGTATGCGGACGATATTGTCTTACTGTGCGATAATGCCCAAGGCATGCAATCCGCACTTAATCAGTTGGCAATCAGTGTCCGTAGGTATGGTATGTGCTTTGCACCTTCGAAGTGCAAAGTACTCCTACAAGACTGGCAGGATTCCAATCCTGTACTCACCCTGGATGGTGAGCAGATAGACGTAGTCGAGAAGTTCGTGTATCTGGGTAGCTGCATAAGTGCTGGTGGGGGTGTGAGTGATGAGATTAATGCACGTATAGTGAAAGCCAGAGTGGCTTATGCCAATCTGGGCCACCTTTGGCGCCTTCGTGATGTTAGGCTGGCTGTAAAAGGTCGGATCTACAACGCGTCGATGAGAGCAGTTTTGCTCTATGCTTGTGAAACCTGGCCTCTCCGAGTTGAGGACGTTAGACGACTCTGTGTTCGATCATCGCTGTCTCCGAAGGATTGCTGACATTCAGTGGCAACACCATGTCAGTAATGCAGAGGTTTGGTATCGTGTGTTCGGGCACAGAGATGATAATTCAATTGGTGTCACCATCTTGAAACACCGACTTCGGTGGCTTGGACATGTTCTCCGAATGTCGTCCCAGAGAATTCCACGTCGTGCATTATTTGCCGACTCTGGGACTGGTTGGAAGAAGCGGAGTGGTGGTCAGTGCATGACATGGTGTCGTGGTATGAAAGAAAGCTGCAAAGGACTGGCTTCTGTTGGTCCTTCACGACCCCCTGGTTGGGGTCTGAGAGATGGTGCTACACAGTGGCTAGAGACGTTATCAGATATGGCTCAGAATAGAAGCCAGTGGCGATCCTGCTGTAACCTTCTTTTACTTTCTTCATAAAAAGTGGTTCTGTCTCCCTTACCTGAAAGATTTCTTCTGATTGTACCTTTCCGTTCCCTCATTTCTACCATACTACCTTACACCAATCTCTTCGTTATTGTTCTCTTTTTTTGCGCTCCTTAGCTTTTTTTTCTTTTCTATTTCTCTTCGAATTCTCATTGTTATGTGTGGCGCATATATATTGGCGCTCTCTTGTACCAATATTCATGTGTTCAAATAAATAAATAAAATAAATATAATTTTCCTGTCTTCATGCATAAATTATAAGTTAGTTGATTATATTGTAGTACCAAGTTCAGATTACAAAAGAAACTCCAGTTTTCTGTATAGTAGAAATCACGAACTACTGATTGAATTGCGAAAGAAATTGGATATCAACTCATTGATATAGAGGTTAAGCGTCTACGTGTGAGACTAAAGATCTCGGGTTCAATCCATGCGTGCAGGATGATGGGTTCTCACTGATGTGAAGTCCTGTATTAGGACACGATGGGGTTCTAGCGCTTCACTTATGGTCTAGCTTAGATCAGTCCTTGAATTTAATAAAATTCAACAATGTAACCCAGTACTGAAAATGAATCGACATATTAGTGAGATTGGTTTAAGAATAGTTTCATATGAGTAGTACATTAGTCTGCTTAAAACTGCTAGCAGCAACGCAACTGCATCGTATCATTAATGGTTCGATCGTGTTCTTGAATATTTGTTTGTCAACTTGTTTTTCGTTCATCGTTTCTCCTCCAGCGCTGTTGAAATTTAGATAAATCTGTTTCATGGTGTTGAGTGATAAACAGTGATGATTTCAACGCGGAGGCAATGAAGTAGGTGATTATGAAAAGTGACAACTCTCAGTTTGGTTGTGCACAGGTTCCACGTAGGACCAGGCACACATATGCATCGGTTCAAGTTGCCGTACCTCATTAGCACAACAAGATGAACGCCGGATTCATAGGAGTAGTTAATTCAGTGGTGGTAATATATGAAAGATTGCATGTAAGAACATAGTACAATAAGAAAGAATTAGGTCGTAGAAAGAAAGATATGAAGCGATTTTAATCTCATTGTTTAAGGGAAGATAGAGAGTGTATACACCTACGCTATTGTGATCGATTCTGAGCCATGTCACCAAGAGTCCAACCATTGGTTACGATAGTCGCGCGGACCCTAATCAAGTAGTCTGCATCTACCAACTTGAATCAGATCAGAAGTTAGTGGCTTCAAGGACTGATGCCACATTTTGGTTTGGCCGCCTCGAACTTTCTTCCAACCATCTCCAACACTAGTCAGCATTGCGTGTCGTGGTAATCGGTGTTCGGGCATACGTAACACGTGGCCGAACCATCTCAGTCGACGAAGATTCACAACCTCATCAACTGATTAACCATCATCATTCCTTATTACTGTGAGTCTAACCTGACTATTACTTACCCGGTGACCCCAGCAGAAGTGAGCTATATTTCTAAGGTATCTGTGGTCAAATATTAGTAGCTTACGAGTATCTTCTACTCTTAATGGCCACGTTTCGCAGCCATAAATAGAACAGAACGAAGTGCTTCGCGGTATACTCGTCCCGTAATCGATGAACGGATACCTCACAACCGCCATAGGTGACGTAAATTGGCGAGAGCCAAACGAGCTTCCTGGATCCGTGAAGAGATTTCGTCAGACATCAATCCACTAGGGCTGGCCAGACTTTCAAGATAAGTGAAATAGTCGACTCTCCCTATCCTTAGTTCAGGTGCTGATGCAAGTCAGTCTTGAAGCAACAACACCTTTCAATGACAGATACTGCTTTTAAGTTAAGAAA